GTGTTTTTTTTATTCAATTCGTAAGTGTAGTGAAAGATTTATCGCTTTCAATTCGTTACCATGTCTATAGTTAACAAATTGATGTTTTTTAGGGTTGCTAGATCTATGCTTCCTATGTAAGTGTTAAGTAGTGCAATTGGCTTTTTGTGTCCTGTCAATGAATCAATTTTACAACTATATTGAATTTAGATGCTTGGGGGTTTGAAATTTGAATCACTATGGTGTTGTTATTAAGTTCACTTTAGGAGCAAGTGAGGTTTAGGTTCTAGTGATCATGAAACAACAATACATTTACAGGGTTGTGTATTATACTAAGCTTAAGTTCATTTGTTTGATGCACCGTCATCATTATTATTTTAATCTTGTAAATGGAAAGCAGTATTTGTAGATTAAGAACTTGTGGTAACAAAAAAGTATATAGTAGAGAAATTGGTTAGTATTTCTTCGCATTTTCCTTTAAGACCCAGGGCTTTGTGAGATTAGCACAGACACAGAGTGCACTGATGACTGTGTTGACATTTAGATATTCCACATTGTATTAAGTGGGACCATTGGTAGCAAGTTTTCATAAAATCTATCTAACTTTTCTGGTTGCTACTTACATGTCATGAATTTTTCTCATAATTAGATGCCATGGATAATGTTTTTTCATAAAATGTATCTCACTTTGCTTATGCTAATGTTGCTGTCTTTTACTTGTGCTTCCGATCCTTGGTTAATAACTCACTGGTGTTTTAAACTCATTATTCTTCTGTTATATAGATGCTCTAGAATGTATTGACCTTATCCGGTTAAAGGATGCCCAAATATGGCTCCGTTTGTTTGCAAATCCTCTTTTTTTTTGTTGTTGTTGGAGACTTCTGAATTATGAAATTTAAGATAGTGTGATGTCCTTGATGTTAGGAGGAAGAAATAGGAGAATATTATTGTAATGATACGAGTGACATTGCTATGAATTTTTCTTATTTGCGCATATATATGTGTTTATGCTAAAGTAATTACTTCAATTACATTATGCAGATCACAGTGATATTTCAGATGCTACAAGTCAACAGGTAGCCCGTTATATACATTTTATTTAAGGTTCATTAATAGTTATACAACTGAATGCATACGGCATCTACCCATTTTTTACCCTATGTTGTTGCCTGGTGCAGGCTTCCAAATGGAGAGAGCAGAAGGCACTACATGACCTTACATCTCTTTTTCCAAAAGAGGCAAGCACAAACTAGCATTACTCTTGTTTTGTATCTTGTAATATTTTTTGTGCAAATGTTAACTTCCTTGCCTTCTAATGAGTATTATATTTCAGGTACTTGATGTTATTATGTCTAGCACAAGTGATATGGGGCCTTTGAGTCTAGAAAATTTCAGAAATAATCTTTCTTCTTCTTGGAGAGTTGTTGGGTCAAAGACTTCAAATGCTACATATCAGGTTAGGATTACTGATGTACTTCTGCCCGAGACTTTGATTTCCTGCATTTATTTTATCTTATTGCTACTAAATGTTAATCCTTTTTTCTTAAAATTTTTTAACTAAAGCTAAACCAACCAGAAACACATCTTAGCCAAGAAAAACAAAAGGAGAAGGATGGAAGATCTTCAGGTTGTATCACATACTATCAGTTATTTTGCATGTGTTTTATTTTATTTTGCTTTCTCATTATTTATTTATTAATGCAGTTGCTCTTCCCCAGTGGAATGATAGTCCTGTAAAGCTAGCCAGAAGGGTGAGCATCATTTTTGGATATTTTACTTTTTTAAGTTACATAGCTTTTTGTACACCATTAACAAAGTTATGTTTGTAATTCATAGTAATCTCCCACACCTTTTAACTCGATGGTTGTGGTAGTTTTGGAAAAAGTCTGAACACATACACAGAATGATAAAATCATTCTCAGACCCAATCTACAATTATAGTAACCTTGAAGTATGACATGCTTGTTCTAATTATTACTTCAAGATGAACATAAGTTGAGCTAAATAAATTGGGAATTCATAGTTTTGTCCTTACAATATAAATATCATGTCAAATTAAGTTTTATCCACTTTTTGATAAATTTATACTATAGGCTTCATTCTTATAAAATTCCTTGTTGCTGAAGATTCCCAAACATAAGCCTATTTTTACTAAAGTCATTCTTCCAAATTACGTTTGAGTGAAAAACATCCGTCTACCATTTACCCCAATATTTTTCTGTTCTGTTTGAAAATCCTGTTTAACTTGTAGTGAGTATACTTAACTCGGGGAACAACAAAAATCATCCTTGAAATAAACTTTGTTTTGTTCCTTGTAAACATCTTCTGCAGCAATTAATAGGGAAAAGGATGGCCAAGCGTGCTGCTGAGTTGGTAAAACAGGATGATGAAGTTATTGTAAAACTTGAAGATTTTGCTATTGAGCGTTCAAAATCAGTTGATTCAGCAGTTCTAGGTAAATACAACATTTGGAGGAAAGAAAATGAAAACGAGAATGATTCTACCGTTCGGTTGATGCGAGATCAGATCATTATGGCTAGGGTATACTTGAGTATTGCGAAGATGAAAAACAAGTTTGACTTGTACCAAGAGCTGCAAACACGGCTTAAAGAGAGTCAGCGTGCTTTAGGTGAGGCAACTTCTGATGCTGATCTACACCAGAGGTATGCTCAATTTATTGGAAGTGTATAAATATCTGCATTTGTTTGTATTTACTAACCTAATTAATCATCTTTAGTGAACATGAAAAAATGAAAGCTATGGGTCAAGTTCTATCTAAGGCAAAAGATCAATTGTATGACTGCAAGTTGGTTACTGGGAAATTGAGGGCAATGCTACAAACTGCTGATGAGCAAGTTAGAGGCTTGAAGAAACAAAGCACATTCCTTAGCCAGTTAGCTGCCAAGACCATACCAAATGGAATTCACTGCTTATCGATGCGCCTTACCATAGATTACTACCTCCTTCCACCTGAAAAGAGAAAGTTCCCTAAGACTGAGAATTTGGTTAATCCCAGTCTTTATCATTATGCCCTATTCTCAGACAATGTTTTGGCTGCATCTGTTGTTGTCAACTCAGCTGTTTTGAATGCGAAGGTAAAGGACTAACCGTCTGTTATGATAAATACATGCTTGTGTATTTTTTTCAAGCACATTCCTTTTTACAGATAATGAATAATTTGAACTTGGGTCCACGTAATTTTTGAGATGGATCCATGTACTTTGCTTGCAATAGTCTATCTATTATTTTATAAATAATAGTATTAAACACAACCACTTGTTATCTTATGGTGTTGTCTTTGACATTGCAGGATCCTTCAAAGCATGTCTTTCATCTTGTTACTGATAAACTAAATTTTGGAGCCATGAACATGTGGTTTTTATTGAATCCTCCTGGAAAAGCTACAATCTTTGTTGAAAATGTTGATGAATTTAAGTGGTTGAACTCATCCTACTGTCCAGTCCTGAAACAGCTTGAATCCGCGACAATGAAAGAGTATTATTTCAAGGCAGGCCATCCAACCACTACTGGTGCTTCTAATCTCAAGTACAGAAATCCAAAATATCTTTCAATGCTCAACCACCTTAGATTCTATCTTCCACAAGTTTATCCAAAATTAGACAAGATTCTTTTTCTTGATGATGACATTGTTGTCCAGAAGGATTTGACTGGACTATGGGCCGTGGATCTTCGTGGAAAAGTAAATGGTGCCGTTGAAACATGTGGTGAGAGCTTTCATCGGTTTGACAAGTATCTTAATTTTTCAAATCCACATATTGCGAAAAACTTTGATCCCAATGCTTGTGGTTGGGCATATGGAATGAATATGTTTGATTTAAAGGTGTGGAAAAAGAAGGACATTACTGGCATATATCACAGATGGCAGAATCTGGTAAGCAGTTGAACATGACATCGGTTTAACATCATGCATCTATTCTCAGAGTTGGATTCATTGTGGTAACACATAGTCGTGCATGTAACCACAAATCTCTGACATTGGATATCAGATGACTCGTATTTCGAATTGTATCTTAAAACTAACATGAAGAAGTTAAAATGCGAATCTTCTGATCATTATCCAACAGTCTAGACTCCTTGATGCATGACTGTGTGCTTCTCTTGACTTTAGAGAGTCCTGCTCGGTCTATTTTCTATAAATAAATTAAAATCAATTCTTTCACTAACAATTTTTCATGTTTGATTTCAGAATGAAGACAGGGTACTGTGGAAATTAGGTACATTACCTCCAGGGCTAATGACATTCTATGGATTAACGCATCCGCTAAATAAATCATGGCACGTACTCGGTTTGGGTTACAGTCCAAGTATAGATCGTACAGAAATCGAGAATGCAGCTGTTGTTCACTACAATGGTAATATGAAACCATGGTTAGAAATAGCCATGACAAAATATCGCCCTTACTGGACCAAATATGTCAAGTATAACCATCCTTATCTTAGGAACTGTAAGCTAAGTGAATGGTCTTGATAACACCGACTCCTAAAAATACAAAGAGCACTCTTTATTCCTTCAGAATATACCCTCAACCTTTTCTCTCCTTTCTAACTTGGCAATTTCAAGTGATGTGCCTTGTTAGAGTATATGATTAAATTGTCCAAGTGATATAGAGTGTCAATGCTTGTGTTCTATCTGCTCTTACCTCATCATCTCTTTCCCACGCCATCGTCGTTCATTCTTTGCTTTTCATTCATTTAATTTGTTTACACCATTCTCACTAATTCGAAACAAGGTACAATAAATAGTATACCTTGTTTACTATATAAAGATCCTTCATTGTACAATTTGATGCTAAGAATGGACTAGAAATTGAATTATAATTTTATGTATTCTTTCACAAATGTTTTTGAGAAGTTATTTGAATGTTTGCATATTGTATTTTAGATAAGTAGCACAATAAGAAACATGATTGTAGTGCATTTATTTTCAAGTATAAACTCTAGATAAGTTGCTCAGTCCAAATGAACTTGTGTGATTAGGGACTTATTGGAGAAAAATGCTTCTAGATTCTCTTCAACAACATGAGTCGCAGCCATGAATTTTCAATAGTAAAAGCAGCATTATGAGGTGACAAAACCACATTGTCCAAAGCTAAAAGTTGTTGAGGAACATTAGGCTCATTCTCAAACACATCCAAACCAGCACCACCAATGTGTCCTTCCATCAAACATTTCACCAACTCTTGTTCATCAATTAAGGACCCTCTTCCAACATTCATTATAACACCTCTGTTTCTCAGTGCCAACATCACTTCTTTGTTAACAATGTGCCTTGTTTGTTCATTTAGTGAACAACATAGAACTATGCATCACTGGTAGTTGCAAGTTCAAACATGGTTGAGTAAAATTGGTATGTAACAAAGGGATTTTTCTTCCTTGAGTGGTATGAAATAATGCATCCAAAAGCTTCCAACCTTTTAGCTACTTCCATGCCAATGCTTCTAATCCAACAATTCCAACTCGCTTTCCCCTTAGCTGAAAACACAATGTCGTGAAGAAAAATATTAATTTAATTTGTCTTCAATTTTGATATCGTTAACACTTAATAAGAAAATTAGACATTTTTTTTGTCTTATTCTTTTCTTTTGGCAGGAATTCAATTTTTAAAATAATCTCATGAAGTTTACTTTTTTATTTATTAAGGAGTTGTTCTCTAAATCTCATAAATATAAAAATTGAGAAATATACATCTTTATAAGAGATATATTATTTATTTATCTAAAATTTTAAAGTGATATATAAGTGGATTCTTTCGTTTACCTATGTCAAAGTCTCTACATTTGTATCCCACTCCTCGTAATTAGATTATTATTCTAATAATTTTATTAAAGTTTTCGTAAACTTTGTGATTATGTTTGTACACAATTGTGGAGGAAAATACGTGGCTATGATGACAGTGGCACATGGCATTAAAATTTTGATTAGACATGGAGGACTCAAACCATTGATAGTTTTCTATCCAACTTTATTCAATGTTTTTTGTTTTGAAAGTATAAACATTCACCAATTTTCATAGCAGCATCAAAATTGTACAAAACAAAGTTTATAGAAGTAATCTTCGAAATATTTTGGGAATACATTTTTAAATTATTCTTTTATAAAATAAAGGTATCTTACTTGTAATATTTTTTCTTTTTTATGTATATTAGATATATCAAAAGATGTATCTTAAAAAAAAAATAATAAAAATATCTAAGTTTAAAGGCACGAAACTCACTATATAAGATGAAATAAATATTCTCTTTTATTAAATAATGTTGATAAAATATTATTTTTCTCTCTTAATTATACTTCTAAATTTAATTTGATCTTTTAATTTTTTAATATTAAATTGATCATTTAATTTTTAATATGTATATTTTAATAGATACACATCTGTCTCTTTTATCTATTCCGTTAATTAAAATATATTAAATATTTATATGATAATAATAATCAATTCTTATGACGGAGTTAATGTCGAAAAAATCATAATTATTATTGTTCATCTTCTTTCTCAATTTTAAATTCCATTGCAATAGAAATTGAAACTCATAAAAAATTCATTAACGCAACTACCATCCACACTCCAATAACACATCTTAAAGATAACAACTTTCATTTTTTTATTTTTATTCCGTAATTTAGCCTTTAGCCTTTGCTTCTAAATCAAACATATCTTCATCCTAGTTTGAATTGGTTTTGTAGAAATCCCTAATTTTGAAAACCCTAACATTCTAATTTTTGTTCTAATCTGCAATTTAACCTTTGTTTTTATTTAAGAATTTAGATTTAAATTATTTATCTTGTATTAAACAATTGATTTGAATATTTATGACTCTAAGAATTAAAAAGAAGAAAATGAATAAGAAACAGAAAAAGAAGAATGCCATCTTCTTCATGAAATTGGATCCACCCTGCAACCTTTCATCTTCCTCAACCACTATACCTCACCACAGTCCAAACAACCACAAAAAACACTCCCTAGGTTCACCACATATCAACAACCTAACACCTACGTCCGACAACACCACTTTACCAACTTCTGATCTCTACTGATCCAACAACCATATAACATGTATCGGAACTCCACTTCCACGGCCAAACCAAAAACGTGCGTCTCCAAAGTTTCCGATCTACTCACATGAAAAGCTCCAAAAAAAACCATAACCAAAAGCTTCGTGCTAGTTCGTTGAACAGTGAGAAGAGGTGAAGCAAATCTCCTTGAAGAAGAAGAAACCGTAGTTGTTGTAGTAGTAGTTGTAATAGGAGAATTTGTTGAAGCAAATCTTCTGATTTCTGGTTTTTTTAATGAAAAAGGGTTAAAATTTGGTTATAGATTTTATTCTGGGGTTAATTTGAGAGAGAAAATGAACAATAATAATTAAAATTTAAAGATATTTAAAAGAGTTGATCATCACTTCCACATACGGTCTCATATGTCTTATATTATAAGTAAAACTTATTTTTTAGATTGATTAAATATTAATGTATTTAGTTTATATATAGATTAGATATATTAAAATTTATTTGATTTTTTTTTTAGCAATAATTAAGTATTGAAAAAAAAATACACAAATAATCATGTTTTAGAGAAAATTACGTAAATAAAGATGTTTTAGAAAATTCCACAAAGGAAGAGTCAACCCAGTTGGCACATGTGTTGTACCCCAAAATTTGCCCTCCCATTTCCTCAACATTTTCTCATCACAAGACCTTTGAAGATCAAGATACAGTTAGGGTTTCCTCTGCTCAAGACTCCTCCTTGCACTGTGGACTCAAATTAGGGTTTGTGTTTGCCCAAGGATGTTTTGACCTAAAATGCCTAAAAAGACTTTCATGCTTCATGTTGGACTCCCAAGTTTACCTATACCAAGTTTCAAGTCTTGATTCCAAGTTTTACCCAGTCCATTGAACAGTTGACCTAGAAATCAGCTGTATTGGGGAAAAAGTCAACTGTGGCCAATTGACAGTCAAACCTCATGAAATTTGATCCACATCAACATTATGAACTCCCATGGACCATTTGATCAAGTTTGGATCACAATTCCACAAGAAATTTGATCAGATCATCAAAAGGGCAAAATGGTCATTTTTAGGGTTTTGACTGCACAAAGGCAATTTTTGACTGTTTGACCTAGTCAATGGCAAACCAAGCTCACATATGGCCTCAAGGACTCAATGGAGTTATCTTGACATGTTCATCAAGCTCAAAAGATCCCAAGTACACAAGATTGACAGTTGAATTTCCCAGTCAATTGATCAATTTTGACTGTACACTGAAAAGTCAAACTTTGACTTTTTGGTCAAAATCAAGAGTCAAGATTCATTTTTCATCAAAACATTCCAAATCATGAAACTTGTTCACCAAGAAATCACAAAATGCAAATTAGGGTTTGAAAATGGAATTTTTCATAACTTAGAATTTTTCTAAGTTATGAAAAACCCTAATTTTTTCCCAACTTTGCCCCATCTTTTCACCATGATCCATTTGGATTCAAACAAAAGTCAAAACATGAAAGTTGTATCTTGTTGCATAATCTACAACTTTGATTCACAAAGTTTTCTCATTTGAAGCTTGTATCTCAAGTTATGATTTTTTGAATAAGGGCACTAAACCATCTTTTAACTTAGTGAAATTTGACATATTTTGACAAGGTTTTCTACCCTACTTCAAGGCCACTTTTCATACCCTTCCACTTGGAATTTTGATTTGCATTTCAAAGATGGATTGTAGTACACATTCCAATCTTTCCAAAATGTCCAAGAACTCATCAAACAACCTCATAACTTGAGAGATTCGAATTTCACAAGTTGGCAAAAATTCACTTTTGTTCTTCATCAAGACATGTTCATAAACTTGGCAAATTTGAACTCAACATTGTTTGTGCTACTTTGCAGGTCCTTAAACCACATTACACTCCTTAATTTAATGCTTGTTCATTGTGTCTAAGTGTTGTTCCATGAATTCAAGCATTATACACAAGATTGATCCATTTTTGGATAAAGTGAACTTTCCATTTTTACAAAAGTTTGCTTTATGTCAATTGGTAAATCAAACAAGTACATAGAAGATCTGCTTAGCACAAGATTATGTGCATAACACACTGATCAAGAGATGTTTATGCAGCACATTAGGGGGTCCTATACTGACCTAGAAAGCCAACTTGCATTTTGTAGCTTAAGTGTGAAGAAAGGTCCATAACTCATGCCATCTCTCATATCAGCTTAGAGACACAAGAAAGAACTTATCAAACACATTCAAAATCACCCAACCAAGCTTTTGCACGAGCCTTTTGCCTTTCAAACACTCTCCATCTCAGAAACACCACAAAACTGCTCAAACAGAGCAAGCCCTGCAGATTGAGTGCTATCTCTCAATCCCTTCGAGCATTTTGATCAAAACCTGTTCCTCTACCTTCCTTACAACATATGCAAACTATCCAGAAGCTAAGGCACGATCTGTAGTTGCTCTAACCACTTCCACCATTTTCATATCTTTGACTTGCAGGTGAAGTTCTACAGCTTGATACAAGAAGGTTCAAGACAAAGTAAGCATTGAAAAAGCATCCCTGGACCTCAAGGAAGCTTTTCCAATCATTACATTGCACTGAAAGTCTCTCATTCTCCACATAGAAGTTCAACTGCACAGGTAAAAGTTTGAATTCGTATCTCTCTTATTATGCATCTTTAGTCTTAAGTTTGTGAAGAAACAAGGTCCTACTCATAGCCCTGAACATGTACATAGCTTTACTTTTCATTTCTTTTGTCTGAGTAGAGAGAATTTGAGCTCTGAAAATGGTAGAAAAACTAGGTCAGAAATTGGGGAGAGAGAAATTCTCCCTCATCTTAGAGAGATAGGTCATGTTCTTTATATGGTTGAAACCGTCTCTTCATGCTGAACATTTCTTGTGTTATGAGTTTTTGCTGAAAAGCCAAGAATCAGGAGTTAGACATTGAGGAACAGGGGCGCGCGTTTTTCAAACGTTTTGAAGCTGGAGGTTGAAGAAGGAGTGAAGTGGGCTGGGCCTGTGCAATTTTGATTTTCACACCATCTTTCTTGATTCACACCCCCCTGAGCCCATTTGTTTATTTTTCAACATTTTTGACTTTTTCTTTTTTAGTTGACTTTGTTTATTTTTTCTCATGACATTAGAAAATTAAAAATATTTTTTCATCATTTTTTGCATTTATTGCATATTTATTTGTTTATTTTCTTTATTTGTACATAAATACATATATACTATTATTAGAGTAAATGTAAAAATAT